GATATTCAGCAACTTTGCTTGTTTACAGCGCTCTTCCTGGAGACGTGTTTCCCCCAGCCTGCCACCGGACAGACAGACGGATGGACACAAGCACCCGGCTGCCGTGGCAGAGGGAAGAGCTGGGAGAGAGGAAGAGGTGCGGGGGGGTGGGCGGGAGGGTGTGGGGTGGAGTGGGGGCCCAGCACGGGGCAGGTCCCCCTCACCTGGGAGTGGCCCTCTTGCTCCTCCCTCTTGCCCAGAGCTTCTGCCTCAGAAAGAAAGCGGCTGGGCTTGAAATCAGATCTGCCAGGCCCTGTTTGGTTTCACTTCCCTTCTTCTGAGAGTGAGGTGCTCAGTGGAGGAGTGGGGACGGAGAGGGCACTCCAGGCTCTCCAGAGGGAGCGGGCGGATCTGGACTCACTCCAAATGGTCTTGGCCTTGCCGGGGCATGCGGGGCGGAGGTGAAGAGCATGGACCCCGGAGCCAGACGCAACCCCCCGCCCCCACACCCGGCCTGGCCCTCACGAGCTTCTAGCTTTCCAAGTGACTGGGGACATTACGTACTTCCCAGCGTCACTGTGAGGTTAAATACGCTCACATAGGCCAAGCCCTCGGCACCACACGCAAGGTGGGCGCTCACCTATATGCTATGAATGTGCTGTGACATGTTCTCTGGCTCTCAGTGGATACCCCGTGTCTGTACCTGGAGACGTAGGAGGAAAATTCCAGCAGCCCCAGTGACACACACTCTGGCCAAGTTCAGGATGACCCATGATTAACATGGGACACCTACCTCAGTGCCACCTGACGATACCGCATCCCAAAGGCTCCAGGGCTGACCCTTTTCGAAGTCCTTGGAGGGCCCCCGGGATGAGGCGTTGCAGGAGGAGGGGTCCTCCAAGCTTCTGAGGCCCAGGGGCAGACTGTAGTCCCCACTGGCCGCGGGTCCAGCAACCTGAGACTTGGTTTCCAAGCCCATCTGACTTCCTCCTTCCAGATCTTTCGTGATGCAGGAGGGAAGAGCCTGGCTTCTCTCAGACAGGACTTACACTCTTTCTGATTTCAGCTTGATGTGTTTTGGGGGGGGTGGGGATGAGGCGAAGGTGGTACAAAAGAGCCCCCTGCCCTTCCTCTCTAGGATGAGGGCTGGATAACTCAGGAATCTGGGACATTCTGGGTGCTACCAGCAACAAATAAGGCGCAAACCCTCCATACCCTCCACACCCTCCACCCCCGATAAAACACCGCCTGGTTCTTAGGACCTAATCCAACTCTCAATAGAGGTGTAGAAGCTGCAGTGGAGCCCAGAGAAGGCTCCTTTTGTGTTCTGCCGGGGTCAAGGGCAACAGTGTAAGGAACAGAGAAGGGCTGCAGGCAGTGGGCCCCTGAGGGTATGAAGGAGGGGCAAGGAGCAGAAGGTGGAGGGCAGAGCCTGGCTTCAGGGTTAGCCCGGGGAAGACCTGAAGCTGGGGTCCGGTGGGCAGCCCACCTTCAGTCACTGAAAGAACAGGGTAGACACAGGTGTATGGAGAACCTGGAGACTGCCCCAGGGAAGCCAGAGGCTGGCCCCAGCCCCCCACCCCATGGCCAGGGTAGAAGGCGGTAGCCTGAGCGGACCTGGCTGAGCAAGAGAGGCTGTTCCCGAATACACACTCAGGCACTGTTGCCTTGCCGAGCTGCAAGCTGGCAGTGCCTGGGGGAGACTCTGATGTACGTTTCTGGAAGGGAGCCCAAGGCTCCACAAGCGGTGTATTTTAAACAGGAGCTTCGAGGACACGCTGAGTGGGAATGTGGGAAAGTAATAGCTTCAACTTCCCTGGCCGCACACCGCGAGCAGACAAGGGCCACATCCAGCCACACACCAGTCCCTCCCGGGGCGACCATCCACTTCCCTGTCCAGAGAGGGCTGGCATGGGTCTGTCCTCCCCTGAGCACCCCAGAGGTCTTCGCTAGAGCAGGCCTTCAGGACTCTGCCAGCTGGCTCCAAGGTTTGTTTCCTTTTCCCAAGGTTGAGGGAGGAAAAGCCTCCAGTACATAGGTCAGAAGACCTAAGCTTGGGTCAGCCCTCTCTCAGCTTCCAGGGCAAGATTGCGCAAGCCCCATCCCTCCGCCCCCAAGCCTTATCTCTGGCATCAACCCAGATCCTGTTCCTCCAAGGGACAGACTCCTCCCTCCCCCACCTAGGGCCAAGCTCCTCTGAGCCTGTGGAAGGTCCAGCCAAAGGAAGCTGGACACGCTGCCCGGCAGGAGTCCTGGGCTCTCCACTCCCACCAACCCAAACCAGCGAAGGGAAGAAAGACTGGGTGGGAGAGTGGGGAGGGGGGGAATGAGAAAGAGAAAGCAGAGCGAGCCTGGCCAATATCAAACACCTTGCCTTCCCCACCAGGGCACAGCCTTTCCCGGCCACAGAAATCAATCAGCCACTCCAAAGGTGGAGGGGGTTGGAATCCTTGAACCAGAGCCAATCTGGGGCCCTTCTGGGAAAGCGCCTGACTTGTCAAGAAGGGTCTAAGATTCCTCTCCCAGGTCGACATCTGCCCCGGGGTGGAGGTGGGGGTGGGGGTGGGGGTCCCAGCCCATTTTGTAAATAAGACTCTCCTTCACTTGGGACTCTGTGGGCTCCAGTCCTGTTGAGGGCTGGGCGGTCAGTCTCTAACAGGCAGCAGAAGTTATTTGGGGTCCGCACACCCGATTGGGAGGAGCATGAGTGGGTAGGCACGTGTAAGAGAGAAATGAAAGAGAAAAAGAGGGGTCAAGAGAAAAAAGGGCAGAAACCCCAGCTAATGGGAAGAATGTTCCAAGTGGAGGCATGAGCTAGGTAGGGAGTTTAATATGAACCCTGGCTCGTCAAGGAGCAAGGGTCTGTGAGCCCAGGGAGACACCAGAGGGGCTGGGATTCACCGCAAACTGCCACCTCCTGGGAGAAGACTCACTTTATCATACGAGCCCGCTCCCAGTCCCCGCCTGGGTCACCAGGACCCCTGGGAAGACCAGAACCCACTGGGGTACCTGCCCTCGGTTCACGAAAGCCCCGGCTGTGGGAAGCAGCAGCTGTGCTCGAAGAGAGGGGCGAAGTCCACATTTGGAGGAGATAAACCACCCTCATCAGTTAGTCACATGGGCAGCTCATACAGGGCAGCTGGTGAAAACTGGAGCCCACATGGCACCCCCACACTTGGGGCAGGGTCCTAGCTACCGCACAGGGTTGGAGCCTCCCAAGACTCCAGAGGATGCCCCATTCTTGCTCCGGGAGCCTTGGAGCCACCTAGAGGCCTGGATGGGCCCAGCCTTGGGCCAGCAAACTCCCCATTTCTGGGGGAAATCCACAGCTCGGCTTCCCCTTCCTTTGTGCCCTGTTCTTTGTTCTCTTAAAATTCAGTCCATCCTGCTGGTGGTCCCCTCCTCCACCCCAGCCTCAGAAAGGGGGCGGAGGCGGCGGGGAGTTATTAGAAACCCAGACTGTTCGAAGAAGTTGCATTATAGGAGGCCCTCCCGCACCCGGGCCCCTCATTGTTTACGCTGGCTGCAGGGGGGAAGCTTTCCCTGGTCCAGATGGCTGCTGAGGGTAAGGATGAGGGAGAGCCTCCCTCCAACACCACAAACCCTCAAGAGCGGAGCAGCAGGCTTCAGCGGCTCGGGGACCCTTTCCGCTTTCAACCGCTCGGATACACACGGGCAAAGAATAGGCGCCGTGGACGCAGCTGAGGGCGTGGGAGCCAGTCAGATTGCAAAGGGTGACAAGAAAAGAGAAAGCACTGTATTTCCCCTCCATTCTCCCAGGGACAGAGAGAAAACTTCCCAAGCCCGGGCTGCAGTATCTCTACGGGAAACACCAGGAATCTGGTTTGAGTTAGCAGAGCACCCCTCCCCCAGCCCCCCTACACACACACACACACGCGCACACACGCGCGCGCGCACACACACACACACACACACCCGCTCCGGCTCAGTCCTCTCCCAGGAAGCCCGCCCAGCTACAGCCCTCCAGCCCCGGCTCCAGGTTCCCGCCCGGCTCTCCCGATCCCGCACTCACCCGCGGCGGCCCAGCCCGCAGGGCTGCTGGTGGGGGACGCACTGGGGACAGGGGCAGTTTTGTACCCCCTGCTGGGGGCGCTCCAGGGAGGGGGCGGAGCCAGAGACGGCCGACCGCGGCTCCACAGCCCCCGGAGGGTGATTAAATCATTAACCAACCGCTCGCGGCCGCGGGCCACGCCAACAGCGCTTGGTCCCGGGCGCACCCCGCGCGCCGACCCCGCGCGTAGCCCCCTTCCCGGGGCCGCCGGCTCGGCTGCGCCCCACCCCGCCCGGGCCTCTCCCGCCGCGGCCTCCAGGTCTTCCGAGGAGGCGGGCGGGGCGGGAGCCGGGCGGGGGGGCGGGAAGTATTTGTTTCCTCCGCCGGTCCCTTCCAAACAGCTCCTTCCCTCTTTTCTCCCCGGCCCGGTGACACTGGGTGGCGTGTGCTGCAGTGTGTGTACGAGAGCGAGCGCGTGTGTGCACGCCTCCGCCACTACAGGCGAAGAATTCGGTTCTTATTCACGGAGAACTCCGTGCGCACACACGCCCCCCTCGCGGAGACTGCGGGCGGCGCGCCGCGGGTGGTGCCTCTGCCCTCCCCGGCGCACACCCCACTTCCCCGCAGCGGGCAGACCTTTAAAACCGGGGACCCTCCCGTGTCACCCGCTCCAGCAGCGCCCGGGGCCGGACGCCGAATCCCTGCCTGGGGAGAGGAAATCCAGGCGGAGCGCGGCTTCCCCGGCTCTCGGCCGCCCCTCCTCCCCAAAGCCCGATCGGCTCGGACACGGGGTGCGCGGCTCCGGGTCCCAAGCACCCGGGCCGCCCCGCACACGGCCCGGCCCGACCCTTCCACCCGGGGGCGTGCGCAGGAGTGTGTGTGTGTGGGGGGGGTCTCAGCCCTCCTCCCTGCCCCTCGGCCCCCTCTCGAGGCGTTCTCCATCCTCTCCGCCCCTCTGGGGGCTTCAAGCCCACCCAGGCCTCGCAGGGCGCAGGCGGCTGTCGCCTACCTGGGTCCCCAGAGACGCGAGCGCCTGGCCGGCGCGGCTGCGCTGTCCCCTCCGTGGGCTCCGAGCGGCACCGGGGCTGGAGGCCCATGTCAGCGCCGGCGTCGGTTTCCCTCTGGCTCTCGGGCTTTCTGGGCGGCGAGCCTCCCGGACACTCCCCTCCCAGGCTCCTCCCGCGCCCTCCCTCCCGCGCCCTCCGCGCTGAAGTCACGGCGCCGCCGCAGCCAATGGCGGCTGCGAACCCCCGCCCGGCCGCTCGGCCTCCTCGGTTCAAATCGGCCAGTGTGAGACTGTCGGAGCTCCGAGTGGGGCGGCTGGGGCAGCTGGGCCGGGGGGGGTGGGGGTGGGGAGGGAGGGCGGCCGGGAGCCGGGCCGGTGGGGTCCCGGGGAGCCCCGGCGGTGGCCAGGAACCAGGGCCCCCCTCCCCCTGCCTCCCGGCACCGACAGGAGAGCGGAGCCCGGGGGTCTGCGCCGCCCGGGCCGTGGATTCGGTCCCGGACTCTTACTGGAAACGAGCGGGGCGGGGAGGTGGCGGCCCCAAGCCAGTCCCGGAGCCGGTGGAACAGGGGGTTTGGGCGGGGTTACCTGGCTTTGATCGGCCAGCTTGCCGGAGGCCTGAGTCCTTGGCCTCCTGAGTATCCGCGGAGACGAAGTTCTGCTCCGAGCGAACCTGTAGGACGATGAACTCCTGAGTCCCAGAGGAGCAGGCCTTGGACTCGATTCGAGGAATAGCTTCCACTTGTATAAACGCCAGTGGGGAGGTGCTGCCCAGGAAAGCGGGGCGCATTGTGGCAGTTCCCTTGCTGTGGGCAGCTTCCCTGGGTTTTAAAGCAAGTCAGGCGTGGCGGGGGTGGAGGGTGGCATGCGACTCTTGATCTCGGGGTTCCACCTTGGGTGTAGAGATTACTTAATTTTTTAAAAAGTAAAAATAAGAAATAAAGCACGTCGGGTGGAGGTGGTGTGCGGGCTCCAGACTCCCTCCGCTCCCAGCCCACGTGGCTTTCCGTGGGATCCTTCCGTGGGGCCCCTTTGGGCTGGTGCTTTACCCCACACTGCTGACAGCTGGAAGCTCTTCACCTCCCCCCCCGCCCCCCTTACAGGCGGTCCTGAAACCACAGCTTAGTCTTCTCTGTCCAGAGAAAACTTACCTGATTCGCTGGGGCACCGCCCCCGGCCCCTCCTTCCCTCCATTTTTAACACATTATTTTGTCTTTTAGGGTCAGCTGTTCAGCAATTTGTTTTCCTTTTTACAGGTGTCTGGGGTTTGCCCTTCCCAGTTAGATTACACAGCAATTAAGCACACCTCCAGGACAAGGTCCTCACCCCTTTGTAATTCTGCCGCTGCTTATCGGAATTCAGTGCTGTGCCAGGGAGGCTCCTTCCTCAAACATTTGCCGTTCGTTGTGGTTTGCCTTTGGGGCAAAGATGTGTAAAACCCAACCCTGCCTTCAGGATGCCCACAGGGGTTGTAGGCTGCTTCCCCCCCTCCCAAGGAGTGCAGTAGGTGCTGCTAGACAGTGGTTTTCACTGCACTGCTAGGACCCCGGTGGGGAGGCTTGACTGAAAGCAGTGTTAATTGTCCCTGATGTTCGGGATCCCAGACCTGTGAATTTCTAGGGGACTTTGCCTCCTAAGTATCTACTGAAGCTAAGTTTTGCTCCAACCTTTCAGACCAGAGCTGTCTACTGATAATCAGAGGAAGTTAACAAAATGAGGAACTTGAAGCTTGAATAGCTACCTTGAAATTTCTGGCAAGCTCTAAGCCCCTGACTTTGGAGAGGGATTTGAGGTCTTAACTGCACCTTCGCTGTAACTTGACTTAGAAGCTTTTAGGCCTGGGCGTGTGTCTCTGCCTGTTGGAGCTGCTGGGACCTGCCCTGAGGGTTTGTGTTTACCTGCTCCTTAAACTGCATGGGCCTGCCCCACCCGCTGCCTCCCAAGGCACCCACCCATCCCAAACACACACCTCCCTGCTTTGTTAACATTGGGTTCTGGGCATCTCAGTTCATATTATTTTGCCCCAGCTTTCAAGAGAGTACGTTACATTAGGTTGCTTAATCCTACTTCTGTGTAGCTAGTTACTCTAGTCAGGTTTGCCCTAAAGTATGACTCTGGGCAGGTCATTTTCCTTTCTGGAGGGACCTGACCTATGGCCTCCCATCTATATCCTGAATCTCCTCACCATTTCCCCCCCACTGGGGTTAGCCAAGGTGGTCCAGGGTGGACCTCTCAGTGCATCACCAAGGGCCTGAGGTCCACATAGCTTGGACCCTTGGTGATCTGAGACCCTGCCCACCCTTGGCTATTCATGCCCACCCGGCTGGGCCGGGGCTCTTTCATGCCTTGGTTCCCTGCTCTAGGGAACCACGTGGAGCCCTTTCACAGGGCCGGGGGGAACCTCTGCTGTGCAACCTGGCAAGATCCCCAGGATACCAGGCTACTGGCGGAGAGTCTGCCATCAGGGCAAGGCCCTTCACCACTGTGGGGGAAAGTCTGCCTCTGGGGTGGGGGCTCTTTTGCCCCAGGCTCCAGGGGCATGAACCCCCTTCTGAGGGATTTAACCCACATCCAGGCTTTGGGGCAGCCAGTGTACCCAGAGAGGAAAACAGCAATTCATCCCCACAGGCTCTTGGGGACAGGATGGTGTCTGGTTGGTGTTGGAATCTCTAGTGTGGCTTGGCATGCGTACCTTGGGCAGATGAATGGATGAGCAGAGTCCAGAGCCCTGTATCCCTTTCTTCTCCCACCTGCAACCCCAGCCTCAAACTGAGCTCTGGCTGGTGACTCCCACGGTGACCTCGCTGGGCCATCCCCAGGGTCAGGGATCCTCCCAGGATGGCAGGTCCCAGGGCTCAGGGGCTGAGGGAGGCGCTGTGTCTCAGAAGCCCCCTGGCCCTCCTTGGTGAGGGAGACACGCTGCTCACCAGGCTGGGTACTCTTTGGAGGCACGAGGTGGCAGTCGGCTTGAGCTGGACCTGAAGAAGGTGATGAGGTGGGGTCAAGGGGTGGAGATAGAGCAGAGAGGCCATGGAATTTACTGGAAGTGAGTCCAGACGTGGGGTCAGAACATCTGGGTTGTGTGACCTTGGGGGAGTCACTTAGTCTCTTTGAGTCATATCTGTAAGGAGGGGACAACAACTGTCCGACCTCAGGAGTTTATCAGAAGGATGGAAGGAGATAAAGCATGTGACCTTGCTTTGTGAACTGTCAAGTCCAAAGTAAGGGACCCTGGTTTCTGTTATTGTTGTTAAGTCAGACTTTAGCCTCTGGGTCCCCTCCTCTATCCTTCTGCCACAGGAAAAGACAGAGAGCCCCCCCTCCCCCCACTAGGGGTTCTGTCTGTCACTGTGCATTGTCCTGTTATTAACACGCTGCCCCTGACCACTGAGCTGGGACATTTCCAGGGAGGTGGGAGTTGATATGAAATACCTTGTTTATCTGGGAGGGAGAAAAGGATGGGCAAAAAAGATACAGTCAGGGTTGCCGATTCCTCAGAAAATGAGCATAGGCTTCAGCTAAAGACAGTGAGTCTCAGAAGCAGGGACCCTGGAAGGAATGTTTCATGTGGTCTCCAGATTTCTGAAGCCCAGCGCTTCAACCACCAATGACGCCCCCTCCCCGCCACGAAAAAGCAAGAAACGGAGGGCTCCTCTCCTGGCGCTCCAAGGACTTGCAGGTCCCGATTGGGAACGCAGATGCCTGAGGCCCATCTGGGTTCAGATCCCAAATGTCACTGTATGACCTGAAACAAGTCACTTGAGCTCCTGGGGCTCAGTGTGCTCATCTGTAAATGGGCGGCACGTGGGTCCCCACCTCATGGAGTTGGCATGAGGTTGGTAGATAATGCAGGCCTGTGTTCAGCATCAGGCTGGGGCCCCACGAAGGCTCCCGATGTGGACGCTGGCTGGTCTCAAAATGGAGGGCTCAAGTCAGACCTCTGGGAATAAGTTTGTTCCTGAGCGTTCTCCGCCTTGGGCAGAGAGCGGGCCCATTCTCATCAGTGTTTCCCAGAATTGAGCTAACAGAAAAAGAATGAATGACATCTGTAAGAGGCAGTCTTGAACTTCTGATAAAGGAGCCTGTCAGGCTCGGGGTGGCTGTGGAGGGGGTCGCCCAGAGCTTTCTCTAATTGTCTCTGGAGCTCTGCTGGAGGGCCGCCCCTGATAACCAGAAACCCTCCTGGACCCCTGAAAAGATGGAAAGAAAAGCAACCGGGGGGAAGGAAAGCGCTTTTGTCTGTGCCCAGAAAAGGCTTGTCTCCTCCTCAAGAGCCCAAATCAGAGGCAAGTTAGCCTAAAGGGGGCACTTAGAAAAGACAAGGTCGCTGTCAACCGTTGAGTAGTTTACTCTGAGTTAAGAATTTTACATCTCTGTCCTATGGAGTAGTTGCTATTACTCCCATGTATCAGATTAAAAACAGAAAGGCTAAGTATCCTGCCCAAGATCCCACTGCTAGTAAGTCCAGATCCTAGACTGGAAAAAAGCCTAAGCAGTCAAGCCTTGGAGCCCAGGGTTCCAGCCACAAAACCACAAGACAGCAGGAAAGGAGACAGATTCCAGCTGAAGCACGAACGGTCCTGTGACTATACTGGGTCACAGTGGGCAAGGGAAAGTCGCGAGGGGAGACTGGGCACCCATCCTTATCAAGCAGACACATATCCCATCAAGCCCAGGAAGGTTCTACATCGTTAAGGAGAACTGACACACCCTGACTCCGGGCAGTTCTTCCGAGGCCCCAGCCCTGTCCTCCTCTACCTCCAATACCCTGTCTCTACCAGCCCACATCCACACCAAAGACCCCAATTAAATTCCTTCCTGGAGCTCAGTGCATGGCCCAGGGGTGAAGAGGAGGGTACCCAGAACTGAAGGCATCACTCAGCGTCCTCTCTGCCCCTATGTGATGTGACACATGGACCCACATGTTCCAAGCGCTTAAAGGAACAGCCCCATCAAATCAGGAGGTCCTTGTGCCTGTGGCTCTGGTTGGGGGCACTCCTACCTCCTTCCCTCCCTTTGCACGGAGCCCCCCAGATCCCAGATCCTTGGGTTGACCTGAGGCTTGTATACTTCTGTTTGACCCCAGGATTTCCCTATACTTTCCTAGCCCCCATGGGCACCCAGAG